GCGTCTTCCTAGCTTTTAATTTTATTTTGGCTCGTGTCGGCTAGTATATATAAAAAAAATTAAAATTTAAAGCAGGCAGCTACAAATTGTTGTAGCTTAGCCTATCAAGAAGAAATTCCTAGAGAGAAGACTTTAGAATATCTTTCAATAAATTAAAATAAAGTTAAGAGCCATCAGAATTGAAGTGTGTGAATAAGGTAAATTTTCCACTACATTTTTGTCTTCATCCCATCGGTAATATGTCCCATCCCATCATGAGGAAGACGCCATAGTAGACCAGACTTCCTTAGTCAACATTTATGTTTTATTTTATTTTTTTATCCGTAAACATTTATGTTTTATTGGAGCTGCCACGGCGTGTTTCACACTCTAGACCAAATAATATTTTTTGACTATTATGTTACGTGAACTATATTCAAATACTATGTTTACACAACAAACATTTGAGACCATTGATCGAGCAAATGTTTACAGTTTAAACTTCAAACCTTAGCATTTCAATTTAAAGATCAACATTATTAAAAGAAGTAGTCCAAAACTTCAAACCCTTAAAAGCTGACCTATGTTTTTATCTTTATTCGATGTATGATTTTATCACTTAACATGCCCCCCATAAGATGTGGTTCGATTGAGTAAATCAATCTTGAAATTTATGTGCTTAATTTTTTTGAGTCTTAATCGGGATCAAATAGCTCGTTTGAAGTTAATGTGCTCTGTTATCATGTAAAGACTTGGAGTTCTATCTTAAAAAGTCAATTTTGTTAAGATAAGTAGTTCAAACTCTTATAAATTGATCTATATTTTTCATCTTTATTCGATGTGAAATTTTATCTCTTGATTGCAAGATAGAAAATCGATTGGTAAACTATAGACCCGATCAATTAAATAGATATCGACATCTTACCTGTGTATTTATGGGCATGGAGTGCTTGGAAAGGTAATATGTAACCCTCTTTTATTATTTTATGTAAAGAAGAAAATTTTATCGATAAAATAAATTTATTAAATATTTTTCAAAAAATTCACCAACTAAAAGTTGTGTTGTTAATCTTAAATACTATTACGTAAAAGTAAGAATAGGCAATAGAAAAATAATAACAAGAATACACAGATTTACGTGAAACCCCTATATGGAAAAAACCACGAGCGAAGAATGGGAAAATCCACTATATCAAATATTAGTACAAGGGATAAATCTGTTTAGCGGCTACTCCAAATAATAAAATAAAACCCTAAAATACATCTCTGCCCGATCCCTCCACTACCACCATATATACCTAGAAATTCTCATAATTTTAGTTTCACCGCATACGTCGCACCGCGATATTTTTGAGTTATGTCAAACAGAATTTGAGTCACCATACTCTAACACATCTTGATAGACTATTCTATCAATAATATTCTTTTTTATTTTTATTACTTTACTTTGCAACAAAATTTGCTGGCTGCAATTAATGCAAGAGCTTGAGCTACAATATAGGTTGGTACCTGCATGATGAGAAAAAGCCGTGTTTGATTACGTGAAAATAATATATTCATGTATTGAATCACCTCATCTAAAAGTGTTGCTTTTATAGAGAAGACAACCTCCTAAGGCGCAACTCGAATTTTTTCCTTCAAAAGCATGACACTTAAATAATTTTCAAAAATAGGCGGCAAAAGCAATGGTTATAGCTGGATTCTAGAAATATATCCAACGGAGTAAATCACCACCACCACCACTCTCCACGTGGCAGCTATTCCTAGAAGTGTCACTTCATTGTCCATGTTTTGTTTCACCACGATGGTCGTGCAACCACCAGATATTAAGAAATAGGTTCCAAGCTATCAAATGTAAGCAAGAAGTTATATATAAGTATTGATCATAATTACTAGTGTTGTCAAATGCGGAAGATAATACCGAATTAAAAAAATACCAAATTATTTGAGAAAATAAGATATTATAGCCACAATATAAAGTAATTGATCACAAGAACAAAATAATTTGCAGAGAATAGAGATTTTAATATAATACGGAGTAAAAATACAAAGATTTTATGTTTATGATTTGTCTAACTTAATCTAAAATATAATGAAAATCTAAATATATATAGGGAACAATCCAAACCCTAGAGGTACATTTGTAGATGAAATAGAACGCTCAAAAGTTTTCTTATCTTGATCCCTTCAACTCCAACACAAATTTCAACTTCCAATAGGACTTCCAAATACAATTTCAACTAGAATTCGCTAAATAGCCTTCGAATAGGATTTCAAAATAGCATTCCAAATAGAATTGCTCTTAACGTGCACTTTAATTAGAATTCTTAGTTATATTCAACAAAAAAATTCAGATCACACCCAAATTCTAACAATTGGAATTAAAAATTTATTCATATACATGTGGCATTATTAGGCAAACAAGCTCTTTGTACCTTTTTGCAATTATGTAAATCATATTCCATTGAACCAGCGGCGGATTCAGAATTTCGAGTCAGCACGGGCGACCGTGGATTGTCGACCGTTGTCAGCAATAAAATATTAAGAGTCCCGTTTGATACCTATTTTTTATTGCAAAAAATACATTTTGAAATAGTGATTTGATGGAGAACGTGTGGTTAAAAATAAGGAAATAGTTATTTCCAATTTGGAGTACTTTTTCAACATTTTTCAATTTTCTGGTATTATTAATTTTTTTTTTAAATCATTAAGTTTTTTTAACGCAATAGTTTTTGGGAAAATCTTGATGTACCATGTTCAAGATTCGTTGTTTATTAATATTATAGATGTATGTGTTTTTATTATATGAAAATTGAAGGAATTTCACTTGCTTGTAAGACTAGAGAGCATTTTTAATCTTTATGACATTGTTATTTTTCTCATGACTCAACGTTGCGAGTGGATGGAAGGTTTTCACTAACTTTTTAAATTATTGGATCAGAAGAAGAACATTTACATCTTCATTTTATTTCTCTCTCTCTCTTTCTTGAATGTAGTTTGGTACTATTGACTATTCTTATTTTCTCATTGTATTAAACCGTTATTTGTTTGTTTTCCATTTTGTCCATTGAAATTGGATAATATGTATGCAAGATAATTGGAAGAAATTACACGAAATTTACATTCATTTTTAATTAAATATCTCTTGAATATTATGGGACGGAGTGGGTTAAAAAAATTAGATTCAATGACACATTCATAAACTTTATCAACTTTTCAGTTATACATTTTATTCAATTCTATTAAAATCTGATTTTTGTTTGAGGCAAACGTGTACAGTCTTTCTTCCTTTGGTTTCAGTAAAGTTTGAAAGTTCTGCATGTCAAGACAAGTGGAAGAAACTTGTACCAATTTACATTTAGCCCATGTTTTGTGATTAAAATCAGATTTTTTGAAGATTTTGATAGAAATTGATGAATTGTGTAGCTGAAAAGTTGTGAGTCCTATAAATATATTGTTGAAATTAATTATTAACTTTAATTTTAATTCCTACTAAAACGGGAGCTAGAGATTGACAATTCTACACGCCAAGAAAAGTGGAAGAAACTTGCACCCAATTTTTGTTGACAATCGTACCTACTCTATTTTCAACAATTATACAAAGACTCGCAATTATTAAGCCTCGTTTTGATAAATTTATAAAAATTAATGCTATTTAGCAAATTAAAACGTGACATTAAATGAAATATTCAAATATTATTCATTTAATTTTACCTTAAACTGATGTTATAATGTGCCAGATAGTATTAATAAGAGGAATAGTAATAAATCGCACAAAATATATGAATAGTATTTTACTTTAAAAAGTGTGGTTAAATTTAATATATAATCTTGACTTAATTTATAATATAAATCTGTATTTAAATAAGAAGGTAATCATCTTTTGGATTTTGCCGTGTGCACACCAATCTGACACCTCGATGTGCATGTAGTGGGAACCCACAACTTTTTTTTATTGAACGTGAACCCCCCCATACAAAAAGCAAACCCCTATTTTTTTTTTTAGCACTTCCTTTTTGTAGGTGGTTTTACAGCTTACTATTCAAAACAAGGGGTACCAACATTAATAAATAAAATTTTAATTAGTGTGAAAAAAAATCAGCCTATATAAATGGGACGATGGAGGAGTCATTTACGAATAATAAATCGCAACTCTTCAAGAGTCATATACCAAATAATGATTTAAATCATTGTACCAAGGTGGATTATGAAAGAATTTTGTGGCACAATGATGCAATACCCATTGGGCTTAATGGTTAAGCCCAGCTGGTTTTTTGATGGCCCAGCTACTAAAATCTGTTTTGTTTAAATGGTGCAAGAAACGTGTATGAAGAATGCTGAAAGTTGTATTTTTTAGGGTTTGTACTGTGCAGTTTTTCAGATTTTCTCTCATCCTCTCGTGTTCTCTGCGCCGTTCTAGAGACTTCTCTTCTTCTTCGCTGTAGAAATCAAAATACTCATTTGATTTCTTGTTCTCTCTTAATATTGTGTAATCTTGAGTGATTTCATTGTGTAGAGAGTCTATTCTTGTGTGAACTCGTGTTGTTAGTGT